GTGGTCGGGGGCGCCGACCCCGCCGCCAGCTTCTCCGACGCCCGCCTCCTGGAGCTGGGTGAGCCGGGGGCGGGGCGCGGCCCAGCTGCTCACGAGAGCGACCAGTTTTTTGTTGAAAATAAAATTAAAAAAAATAATAATAAATAAAAAAAAATTAAAAATTAAATGAAAATTTAAAAATTAAAAAAAATAAAATAGTGACTGGAACCGTTTGCCACAACGCCAGCCTTGTCCGTTGCCTGGCAGGTGTGCTCAGGTGGGCCCCGCCGCGCTGGACAGGGCTCCTGGCCCGGTACGAGCACGCCACCTTCGTGCCAGCCGGCCGCCCGTGCAGCCTGTGGGTGTTCGGCGGGGCCGACCAGGCGGGGAACAGGAGCAGCGTGCAGGTGCTGAATGCAGGTGAGCGCCCGGCTGCGCCGTCATGCGAGAAGCGGATGGACGGTGTTTTTAGGAGCGCAGCCTGCTTCTAGTCCGGTGCGTCGAGCAACCCTTGATCCGCTAAGCGTCGGCCTCCCGATTAAAACATCCTTGATTTACTTTGCTTTTTTCTTTTTTTTTTTTTTTTTAACCCACTGTGCTGCTCCAAAGCCGTACCGTCATGGCTAAATTCATAGGCGGGAGGGCTGGAAGGGACCTCGCGGGATCATCTGCCCCGGGGGTAGGAAGTCGACTGGGTCAGGTCACCCCAGCAAGATGAGCATCCGGGGTTAGACAGTCTTCTGATTTCCAGGTGAAACTTATTCGCAGCCAATGATGATTTTATTTTAATTAGAATTGGGAACCTGGGAAAGTCCTGAGGTGACTGGCACTCGGCCGCTCCCAAGGACGTTTCATTCATCGTCGGCTGTTGTAGGAGACTGCTTGTACGTGTTTGGAGGAGGAGATAAAGGAGCGGAGCCTGTTAAAGATCAACGGCTTCATGTTTTTGATACAGGTAACTCCAAGGAACCGAAGCTCTAAACACATTCGTCGTCTGTTTGGAGTGAACGTGTGCGTTACGCGGAGCTCAGGAACTAGATGCACAAATAAGACGTGCACGTTCAAATGCAGTGTTGTTGGAAGCCTGATTTGTGGCCAGGAGTCCGTGTTAGGCTTTGTCTTCTGATTCCCAAGTTGCATCTACGCATGGGAAGTGTATATTTGTTTTTTCACCAACGTTGGCCTCTAGCTTAAAGTTCTTCTCCTGCCCTGGTGTTCCACCCCCCGTCCCCATACGTTTGCAAACAGCAGTCATATCCCCTCTCAGCTTTCACTTTTTGCTATGCTAAACCAGCCAACCTTTTTTAGTCTTTATAAGACAGGCTTTCCCTTTTCCCCGATCACCCCCCAGCGCCCCTCCTTGTGCCTCCTTCAGCTAGAATTCACCCTTGATCCTGTGACCAAAACCGTACGCGGTATTCCAGTTGAGCTCTCAACAGTATCACCTCTAGTGAAAATGCCTCACTTGGAAACCCTGCTAGTTTAATGGCTTTACAGAACTTCAGCAAGTATCTTCCTAATGCCCGTATATATTCCCATGTCTATCTAGCCACTCTGACTTGGTCACAGCCAGAAGTGCACGGGGATCCTCCTGCATCTCGGCAAGGGCATGCAGTTGTTGCAGTTGGGAGCAGGCTCTTCTTGCACGGGGGGCTAGCTGGTGAAAATTTTTATGACGATCTCTTTTGCTTGGATACAAGTAAGTATGTGAGGCAGCTGTGTCTGCTTTATTAAATACTATGATGTAAATCACTGAACAGACCATTGCATAAGTGCAGTAAGTGGCTGGCTGCAGATGCGAGGGACTTTTTTTTTCATTGTCATGCTTTCTGCATCTGTCTGAGCAGGCATACAGTATGGTAAACGCACAGACGACTGCAGTCTGTAAGCAAACAATTTGTATTGGCATGCCCAAAGTGATGGCAGTGTCAAGGTGCGTGTTTGCACATCCACCTCTGCCTGCTGCCTGCTCTCTGTATCACTATTAGAAATTCACAGTCCTGTACTGTAGGTTGGGGAGCAGTTGTTTACCTGGCCTGTCTGAGCATATGCTGATGTGTAGTGGGGTTTTTAAATTACTGCAAATTACTTAACTTTTGCATGTGCCGAAGTAGTTGTTCCTACGGTTCCATAGGAAAATGATCTTAACGCAGCGTAGCTCCTACTCTACTTGCATCCTGGCAGTTGTAGGTACATCAACTACTCTGGCAAAGGGAAGTCTAGCGTATTCCCATAGAAGATGGAAATCTGTCTGATGCAGGAGGTACTAAGTACTTGTAACGTTTGATATATTCAAATCTGAAAAAGAACAGCAGCCATGTTACCAGTCTGAGCTCTTAAAAGCAAATCCAGAGGCTGGGTTTGGTGATGTCGTGTCCCCGCCCCACACACGCACACCCTAAATTTCAAATGCCGCCCCACTGTTAGCTAATAAATACTCTTCTAGTTCTTTCTATAAAATATAGCTATTGATTTGTTTTTTTGCTATTACAGGTGATATGAAGTGGGAAAAGGTACCAGCGACTGGTGATGTCCCAGGAGGACGGGCAGCACACTCAGCTGCTGCCTTTAAGGACCATTTTTACATTTTTGGTGGAGTAGACCCAACTGGGGCACTGGATACAATGTACAGATATCACATAGGTGGGCATTTTTTCCTTCACCTATACAAAGGTGTCCGTTCTTAAGGAAAACATTAACCTCTTCGATAGGATTTACTACATTGGTCCTAGATTCCCTTGATCTCCTGTAGTGTTAACGTATGTATAATTTAACTGAAATCAATTGTATTATGTCAGTGTGGAACAGGAGTAATACCATAGTCTCTTGGGTCTAGCTACCTACTTTTGGGGGGAGAATTTGCATACTGGCTTAATTTGATGCCCCTGTCCTTTGTGAAGTTGTGGGCCGATTCCACAGTGAACTGTCTCTTTCTCTTTGGCTGCAGAAAAACAGCATTGGACGCTGCTAGAATTTGATTCCCCCTTGCCCCCTGGAAGGCTGGACCATTCCATGTGCATAATTCCATGGCAAGTGTGTAACAGTGTGGAGAACAATGTTTCAGAAGCTGCAACAAACAGAGACAAGTTTGAGAAGGAAGCAGCTGTTACAGTTGCTGAAGAAGGTGACCCAAGTCAGAACAAACAAAGTGGAAAAGGAAATGTAGAAGACACACTGGTGTATCTGTTCTTTGTGTTTGGGGGGATGGATACTCAAGGGGAAATTTACAGGGACTGTCTTGTATGTCTAGTTGAGTAATGCAGGCTTCACTGCTTTTGTATGTTTAACTAGTAACACTGTTCCAATAAACAGGACTGCTGCAAACTGACAGCATTGTGCTCAGTACACCTTGTTTAGAAAGTGCTCCGGGTAGAGGTATTGAGTGATGATCACATTACTTCACCTCACTCGGATTCTCAAAACACCCCCCTCCCCCCCCCAGAGTCTTGAGATAACAACTACATCCTCTAAACAGGTGCTGCAGCTGTTGTTCATGTCCTTGCTAAAGGACAGTAGGCTCTGAACTCTGCCTCCTGCGAACAGGATTAGCCATAGAGCATGATCTGCAGTTGATAAACCCAGTCCCTTATTTTCACCCTTTCCCTGCAGCTTTTTATGTTGGTTTCTTGTCTTAAGGGTTTGCCTTCATGTGGAATTTTACCAACCTAGTTGTGTGTGGGGATGGCACCAGTAAGAGTGCTAAACTAGGGCCAGGTATGCTTTAGATGTAGAGTAGGAGGATCTTGTACTGAGGAAATAATACATGGAGCAGCATTGCTCTTGTTCCTTTGAGGCGAGTACAAGCCATACAGGTTTCTAAAAAGCAAGACCATCCTGTAGTGTTAAGCATAACTAAGCAGCAAATAAAACATCTAACTTTATTTTATCTCTATACAACTAACAACTTCTAAAGTTCCTCTACTTTTAAGTAAGAGGCAAAAAGACCCTCACAGATGCACACCACGGATATGCAATACAGAAGTTACTGCTTTGGCAGGCCATGGAAGCATTAGATAGCAATACAAATTAAGCCCTACATTTGTTTTCACAAGATCAACTTAAGGCTAGAATACTAAGCTAGCATGTTTGCACAGATTCAGAAGTGAGCTTTACAATGTTCCCCAAAGCCTGCTAGATTGGCCAGTATTTTACATGCAAATTGAGTGTGATGTATGATGGTAGGGGGGGGGAATAATATTAGATGTAGGAAGTATCCTTACTCGGTTTCCACTTAAGAGGGCCAACACTTTATTTTCTTCAGAAGGTGCCCCACAAAGGGAAACACACCTTTGCATCCAGCACATGAGGTCTCCTTTCATACTTCCCTTATAGGGTAGTAAAAGCTGCTTTCTTCCCTATTTTAAAAGGGATCTTGGAGCAAATCCTTTTCTGGGGGGGGGAACTGAGATTGTCATCTTACCTAAAAAAAGATTAAAAATTAATAAAATGGAAACCGTTAACTACACCCAAAGAAGTCCGTTCAGGGGGAAGGGGGTGAGGCTACCCAAATAAGACAGCCCCACACCAAGAATTCCAGTGTAAATAAAAACAAAAGTTTATTATTGTGGACACTCAAAGTAGAAAAGACTTCTACACAGAATGCACATGACCCCGCTGTTAAATAAGATGGTTTCCCAGGTGAACATTTCTAAACCCCTGCTCATTTACAAATCCCACCCCTCTACCCCCCTTCCCTCCCCTCCCCCAGACAGCAAGCAACTGCTAATGAAAAGCAGTAAACAGCCACTTTGGGCTAGCATTTCCAACTCCACTCAGAAGTGAAGACTCCAATTACATTCCAGATAAGAGTTCAATATTTTAAATGAAGAGTTCTTGAGTCCAATATATACACAAGGTAACATCTTTCTGAGATCCCAGCCCCTACAGTTCATCTTTCTCTCCTTCTCCTGCCTCTTCTTCCCCGGGAGGAGGTCCTGCACTTCCATAAAGCTTGCTAACAATTGGCTGGACAACCTCCTCCAGCTCCTTCTTTTTAGCTTTGAAGTCTTCTATGTCAGCATCCTGATGGCTTTCAAGCCATTCAATTTTTTCCTCTACTGCTTTTTCAATTGTCTCTTTGTCTTCGGAAGAGAGCTTGCCACCTAGTTTCTCTTTGTCACCAATCTGATTCTTCAGCGAATAAGCATAGCTTTCCAGCTCGTTTCTGGCATCAATACGCTCCTTCAGCTTTTTGTCCTCTTCTGCAAACTTCTCAGCATCCGTAACCATTCTCTCAATCTCTTCTGGGGTCAGACGGTTCTGATCATTGGTAATTGTGATCTTGTTTTTGTTTCCAGTACCCTTGTCTTCAGCCGTAACACGGAGGATTCCATTCACATCTATCTCAAAGGTAACTTCAATCTGCGGCACACCACGAGGGGCAGGAGGGATTCCAGTCAAGTCGAAAGTGCCCAGGAGATGGTTATCCTTTGTGAGAGGACGTTCACCTGCAAAAAAAGGTAAGAATTCTTAGCTTCATAGTGCTTAGGGTCAGAAGGGACCTAAACAGATCATCGGGTCTGACCCCCTGCCCGGGGCAGGAACGGGTGCTGCTGTCGTATCACCCCATGTCATATCTTGTTTTAGGTTTTGAACTCAGCTAGGTGTAAGTCTGTTGTTAACAATGGGTCTGGAGCAAAAAAGACAGAGTCTTGGGCTTCCTTATCATTTGCTAGTGCTATGGGGGAACCCCTTAGCTTCTCTGTCAAGCTTTGCCAATAGAAGCCTACTGC